GCTCAGTGTTTTGTTACTTTTTATAATAAGCAAGGTGTAATCTTTCAAATTATGTCTATTTGATCACGAAATGCAAACAATAAATGCCGTTTTGGCGCTCTTAGATGTGGTGTGACAGATATCACTGTATGCATGCGGCAGCGCGGAGCGCGAACGGCCGCATTAACAATAGGGCTAGGCGGGGCTAAAGCCCCGGGGCCCGAGCAAGGAGGGGGCCCGTGATTGGCTGTGGTGCAGATTGACTACTAGCCATCTGATTTCCAAAGCCTTACCACGCCCCCCACAAATTAGCCCTGTTATTTAGTGGGGCGTATATTCCATGCATTATCATGGAATCATTATCATTAATATTATAGTGACCGTTCGCAAAGAAAGACCCGCCTTTTTTAGTTACTGTGTGACAAGCCAGGCGGCTCTCACGAGTCACGCACATCATGTTCTCACTCACGCAGTGAAAAATACATCGCGGGGCAAAGACTAACGTTACACTGAGTGACTAAGCACCGACATATAAGAGAGGGCTCAGAGCAGCTTACTGTTGATATGAAACAAAGTCTCAACTTTCAAATATTGTCATTTAAGTCATTTAAACAATACCGTTTTTTCACGTTCAAGTCCACCGACGTTAATCTACTGACAGCTTTGTTGTCGGACAAAATTGCGTATTCGGCGTTATGATTGGTCAGGTCGCCTGTCAATCAAACCCCGTGGGCAGCAGGGCATGGTGAATTGAAACGTCACGTTTTGATTTGATCTACCAATCATGGCTGCCTGCGCAATTTTCGGTAAGTTTGATTATTAACTTGATGGATATTGCTTTTTGTGTGTTTGATCAAACTCTATATTCGCCTAAAGGGCTGGCGATAATACACTCACCGGCCACTTTATTAGGTACACCTGTCCAACTGCTCGTTAACACTTAATTTCTAAGCAGCCAATCACATGGCGGCAACTCAGTGCATTTAGGCATGTAGACATGGTCAAGACAATCTCCTCTAGTTCAAACCGAGCATCAGTATGGGGAAGAAAGGTGATTTGAGTGACTTTGAACGTGGCATGATTGTTGGTGCCAGAAGGGCTGGTCTGAGTATTTCAGAAACTGCTAATCTACTGGGATTTTCACGCACAACCATCTCTAGGGTTTACAGAGAATGGTCCGAAAAAGAAAAAACATCCAGTGAGCGGCAGTTCTGTGGGCGGAAATGCCTTGTTGATGCCAGAGGTCAGAGGAGAATGGCCAGACTGGTTCGAGCTGATAGAAGGGCAACAGTGACAGAAATAACCACTCGTTACAACCGAGGTATGCAGCAAAGCATTTGTGAAGCCACAACACGCACAACCTTGAGGCGGATGGGCTACAACAGCAGAAGACTCCACCGGGTACCACTCATCTCCACTACAAATAGGAAAAAGAGGCTACAATTTGCAAGAGCTCACCAAAATTGAACAGTTGAAGACTGGAAAAATGTTGCCTGGTCTGATGAGTCTCGATTTCTGTTGAGACATTCAGATGTTAGAGTCAGAATTTGGCGTAAACAGAATGAGAACATGGAACCATCATGCCTTGTTACCACTGTGCAGGCTGGTGGTGGTGGTGTAATGGTGTGGGGGATGTTTTCCTGGCACACTTTAGGCCCCTTAGTGCCAATTGGGCATCGTTTAAATGCCACGGCCTACCTGAGCATTGTTTCTGACCATGTCCATCCCTTTATGGCCACCATGTACCCATCCTCTGATGGCTACTTCCACCATGTCACAAAGCTCTAATCATTTCAAATTTGTTTCTTGAACATGACAATGAGTTCACTGTACTAAAATGGCCTCCACAGTCACCAGATCTCAACCCAATAGAGCATCTTTGGGATGTGGTGGAACGGGAGATTCGCATCATGGATGTGCAGCCGACAAATCTGCGGCAACTGTGTGATGCCATCATGTCAATATGGACCAAACTCCCTGAGGAATGCTTCCAGCACCTTGTTGAATCTATGCCACGAAGAATTGAGGCAGTTCTGAAGGCAAAAGGGGGTCCAACCCGTTACTAGCATGGGGTACCTAATAAAGTGGCCGGTGAGTGTATATCTGGTAGAAATATGTCAATTTTGCTGCGCCATCATAAGTTTATAATTTAAACGCGTTTTTAATTGTGGTTTAGATACAAATTATTTTAATCTGCTCAGGCACAGTAAGCAGCGGGAGAGAATTAATTTAGTAAATGCTCGTTTTGAGACCATGGTGAACTTAAAGCGGTTTTGCACAGCGCACTTGAGTTCCGACCCTGAGGTCTTAAAGTGACAGTAGCTGCTAATAAAGCTGCTGTCGCCATTTGTGTCAATAATGTTAATCAAACATCAGAAAGAAAGTAATTTACTGCTCTTGACTGAATCACTTTTGTAAAATAAATAACAATGAATGTTGAATTTATAGTGAAAACTATGTATTGTATATTTGATTACTTTTTACAATATAATATTATTCAGTGCTTTAAGTTTTTCAAGTAGGTCGATTTCTTATGTGCCTTTGTTTGTTCTATTGTTATTTGTGACTCTTGTCATCAGTAAGCTTGAGATTCTTTTCTTTAACTACTATTATTTATTGTGATATTAAAAAATTGGTCACAAGAATTATGAAATTGTGGCATTCAATTTTTATATAATAAAAATCATATTAAAAGTAATATAACTTGACTGTGAAGTAGGCTATATCATAGATAGATAAAATGACTCGTATAATGATATAACATTTAGCTCATGTAGTTGGTGACCTAAAGTGGTGGGGGGCCCTGCAGTAACTCATAGCCCCGGGGCCCAGTGAACTCTTAATGCGGCCCTGCTGCGATCATCTCTTCCTCAGTTACAGAATAAACATGAATGGACACCCAAAGGTATGTTGAAAGATACAGTATACTTACTGAAAGGCATCATAACTCGTGTAATCACTCAATCAGTGTTTCAACAGCGGAAATACGTCAATAAAACGCTTAGTTTTTCACATAGCTTTATATTTACCTCAGGCAAGTCATTCAGTGTCCACAGCTTGCTGGTTTGCTAACTCTTTCACTAAATAAATGCTATATATTAGCCTATATATTATATTTTACTTAACCTGTTTATGATATCTTGATTATTTAATGTATGTTTAAAATAGTTGTCATGAAAATAACAGCTTCTGTGTAAATTATTATATAACAAATTAGAGTAAAAACATGTTAATGCAAAAATTGCCTTATCTGTTGTTAAGCTTTAATGTTATAGTAATGTGCAAGTAAGGGCTGTAGTTTACAGCATTAGCAGATAATTTTGTTATCCTTGAGAAACGTTTACTTGTAATTGAATTAATTTAAAGACAAGGACACAATGTGTTCATTAAAGCACTGTTTAATAAAAAATAAAAGCAATTTTAGCTTTCTAAACCCCCCCACCCCACCCCACCCCACTCCACCCCACTGAAATGAACCGAACCGAACCGAGACCTCAAAACCGTGGGACGAACCGAACCGTCAGGTTTGTGTATCGTTACACCCCTACTCTCTAATGTTGTTCCAAACCTGTATTAATTTCTTTCTTCTGTTGAAAATAAAAGTTATTTGGAAGAATGTGGCTAACCAAACAGTTGCTGGTCCCCATTGACTTCCATAGTAGGAAAACATATACTATGGTAGTCACTGGAGTACAGCAACTGTTTGGTTAGCCACATTCTTCCAAATAACTTTTATTTTCAACAGAAACTTATTCGGGTTTAAAACAACTTGAGAGAGTACATGATGACAATTAAAATGTTTGGGGGAACTATCCCTTTAATGTTAATAAAACAACAAAACACAGAGAGGAAATCACTCACTGCTCTTGACTGAGAACTTTAGTAGTAGCTTTAATAATAATCAATGTATAATTTATACAGTGAAGTCTATGTTGTGTTTTATTTTCGTGTTTGTTCATTTAGCCTAATTACTTTCTTCAATGCTACTGTTAAATACCCCTACTGTAGCTGAAAAATAAAGCACTGTTTATTTCATTTGTATATTAAGTTGTGTATGCTTAATGTGTATCTTTGTTCCTAATTCTTAATAACAAAGAAAATAATGATAAAGATTTTTATCTTCGTCACTTTGGCCTAAATGTCTGCCATTCTTTTTTCTTTTGTTACCTATAAGGCTTTTTTTTAAATAGGGACATTAGTTTGGCTGTAATGCTCAGTCACTTGCAAAATAGTAAAACCAACATGAAAAAGAATCGTGATAAAATCGTTAATCGTGATTTTCCTGAAAAAAATCGTGATATGATATTTTTGCCATATCGCCCACCCCTAGCAACACCACTCACCCCCTACATGAGACTGTGAGCTCCCTGAGCAGCTCCTTCTGTGGCAGACTGCTGCACCCGCAGTGCAAGAAGGAGCGCTTCCGTAGGTCCTTCATCCCAGTAGCAGTTAGACTTTTTAATGCAACATCACAATGTAGGACTGTTAGCTGTTGTTGAACTAGCACTGTTAGCTGCGGCTGAGTAGCACTGGACAATATTTTGCATTATGTATATTTCTTATCTATTTATTACTTTGTGTCACCTCCAACTGTGCAATATGTTACCTCTATTTATTAGCATATTTATTTGTATATTTGTGTTTATAGATTGTCTGTTTACATAAGGTTGGTTATTATGTAAATACAGTTCTATTCTTATTTGTATTCTATTTTACTTTTATATTTTACTGGAGCTGCTGTAACACAGGAATTTCCCCAGTGTGGGATTAATAAAGTCAATCAAATCAAATCAAATCAAATCAAATAAAAGTTAATTAAAATATATAGAATTAATTAAAATGTACAAAATTAATAATAAAACATATAGACATTTCCAAAAACAAAATATTATTACTAAAACTAACGAAATTAACGTGAAATAACAATTGAAAATATAAACATGAAATCTAAAATAATGATACTAAAATAACTGAATCTTATCTCATAATTCGGTCATGATGAGTGTGTGTGTGCTCCTCACCTGCGCCACATAGACACGCCCCCTCAGGTGATTGACAGCCACTGCGAACACCTGACCGCTGAACAGCTCGGGGTTTCTGGGCCACGAAATGTCCAGTTTGTAAAGCGCGCGCCCGGAAACCCGGAAGTCCGCGTGAGATCGCGACGCGACGCTCATCTGGAAACACAGCAACTTGAATTTTTTCCTCACAAAAAAAATATTTTGAGTGAATTATAAATTATACATATTGTCACTATCCACGATACATATTGATGCATTTTTGTATTGCGATAGGGTAGAGTGGGGGAAAATGCCCCCCTGGGGTAAAATGCCCCCCACCCGTTTTCCCCAAAATAACCACTAGAATGAATCAAGATACATTTTTACTATTGCTATGCACTACGTTGACAACGGGGATATACAAATCTCCATGGAGAAGCAGACACCAGCGACGTATTTGAAGAGAAGGGGATTACATGGAAAATGCTATAATGTTCAGATATTAGTAAACAAGTGTTTAATAGAATATTGTTCACAGTGATATCACAGTAATGTATGATAGATGAATAGTGAAGTCTGTAGTTTGAGAGCATATGTTATTTATAAGGAATATAATTATATTTTTAAAAATAAACAATTTAAAAAAAAAAACATAGCTTGTGGGGTAAAACGCCCCCTATGCTGAGGGGTAAAACGCCCCCCAAGGGGCATAGTTTCTCTTTATCATAATTACTATAGTAACATATTTCTGTTTATCAAAGTCTTTATTTTACACTTTAATGCAGTATAACTAGGCGATAAAATCAAAATATTTTAACAAAACATGATAAAATTACCTCAAGTGAGCATTAGCTAGCTAGCTTGGTGGATGCAATGATGGAAGGTGGTTAGGTGACCCAATGATAAAATATAGTGACTTTTAGAGCATTTATTGAATATATTTCACTTTAAATATACTAATTTATGTTTAATATTTATTTAGGGTTTTCTGTTTTTCTTGATGATAGTGGTGAACAAATACTACATCAATTATCAACCCCATATAGGCCTAGTGTAGAAATCAAAATATTAAAATGTTAGAAATTTGGCTATTTTGTACATTCCTGAAATAAATATTAATAGGTATATATACATGTTGTTGCATTACTTGCCTTTTACTTTTAGAGATAAAAAACTATATTTATTTTGCTGTTGATCTATGAAGCAAACTGGTTGGTAAGAAAGGGGGCGTTTTACCCCACCTTGGGGGGCGTTTTACCCCACCGCTGGGGCAAAACGCCCCCTTTGTAAAAAAATATTTTCAGTCAATAATATGTATAATTATGCAGGTTGAGCAATTTTAATATTTAGTAATATTCTCCTGCCATAGTCACTCAAAACTGGGATGGCAATTCTAGTCACATTTATGTTTTGTTTCACAGTAATGTCACATTTTCCTTAAGGGGGGCGTTTTCCCCCACTCTACCCTATATTGTTATGTAAGCTGCGCATCCCAAATAAGGGGAGTGGCAACGCTATTAGCGTCCACAGTGTTTTACTCATGATGTGCCGGGGAAGAGAAACACCTGTGGTGCATTAGCAATCAGGAATCAAAGTTATAAAGGTATGATGTATTTGTTGTTGTGCTGGGGGGTTTTTCTGTGGCTGCTGCTGAGTTCCTCGCCGAGGCTACCGTGCCGGGACGTGGGTTGGAGATAGACGCGTGCGAATAGCGACTGGGAGGGATATTGTGCTGGGGTTTTCCCCTCTTAAGTTTGGCGGCCGCCGTTGATTTCCTTGAATGCGGGAACCCACGTCCGGTAGCGGGTAAGGAAGCCAGCAGTACACTCTCATTTGATTGTGGTTGATGTCTGTGTTGGTATTGTGTTTTTTCGCCGGGGAGGCCCTAATTTATGTGTGCAACTATTGGTCCCCCGGCGCCATTTGTGTGTAAAGTGAGCGTGTGTGTGAGTAAGGGGGTAGGAGAGCAGGTTGTTATCTTCCACATGCCTTTTATACTGTATATTGACGACGGCTATGTATTTAGCGTGAGTGGTATTGATGGGATGTCCTGATACTTGGTGTGTATTTATTGGTGTGGTATTTACGTGATTTATATGACTTTGAGGGTTGCAGTGCAATGAAATTATGCATGCTTGGTTATCACATGAATTGATTTAATGCATGTATTTAACAACCTTTGAGACCCGTGCTGAATATATTGTCCTGTTTGTTGATGCTTTATTCTTCGCTAAGTTTATTGATTAAATGTTAGCATTCATTACAAATACATGATTAGAATTGCTCCTGTCTTTGCATTAACCTGTTATCCCCCCCTTGGGTTTTAACCCCACGATTGTCTAAAAATAAAATTGTTATATTTATATCTAATGCATTGTGCACGTGAGTTTTCCTTGGTTATTGAGCCACAGAAAATTATTGGTCCAGTAGAGAACCTGTAAATCACCCTTATTACGAGTTGGGGTGGTTACAACTTGGCGTAGTTTTGGCAGTCTGGACTGTGGGCAATAACCAGGAAAATGTCAACTGCACAACCATCAGTGCAGTTACCTTCTACATCAAGTGAGGGGCAGCAGAGAGTAGATGGTTCACCGGATATGGCTCAGAATCAAGCAACAAATGCAAATATGTTTATGTTTCCAATGATGATGGGGACACCTTGGTGTCAAAAATTTAATGGAGATCAAATTGCACAGGGGAATAATTTTCAGGATTGGTATAATATGCAGACATCAACGTTCAATATATACCCTTTTTCTGAGGTGCAAAAGGTCTCTGCTGTAATAAGTAATCTTGATGGGGAAGCAAAGAGGGAAGTATTGGCCTTGCCAACAGCACAGCGTACGACAGCTGATCAGATATTGTCATTTTTGAAAAGCATTTATGGAGATATTGTCCCCCTTGCAACCCTTCGTGCCCAATTTTTTACTCGCAAACAGAGGACAGATGAGAATGTTAGGCAGTTTGCCTTGGCACTTCAAGAATTGAGTAATCGGTTGGAGAATAGGGGCGATGGCACCATTATGGGTAATGTTTTACGTGACCAATTTATTTTGGGACTCTGTGATGCAGGATTGCGTAGGGAACTACGGGGTATGGTCAGGGCAGCTCCTGATAGTTCTTTTGTAGAAGTTAAACAAGAAGCAATCCTGCGAGCAGAGGAATTTGGGGAGGTAAGGCAAGCAGTAGCTGCAACAGTGCAGTTAAAACCAGCCCCTGATACAACAAAATTGGTGGAGGAGATTAAACAGGAGGTCTTTTTGCAGTTAAAAGGAGAAATAAAGGAAATGGTTGCTGGAATGATTAAGGAAGTCCGTGAAGGAGTACAGCACTTATTGCCAAGTAGTGATGATGCAAGATCTAGGTATGAGTTAAGGAGGGGTCGGAGAAGCTCAGATCAATTTGACCATCAGGGAAGACCTATCTGCCGACGTTGTAAACAAGTTGGGCATATCGAAAGACGTTGTAGGGTTGTAGAGGGAGCACAGGGGCCTTTAAACTTTTAGAACCCACTGTACAGGCCCAATCAGTGGGTACATTTGGTAGTGGCCAATCAGAAAAGGATCATTTAATAGGACAATGTCCATCTGTGGAAGTGGTGATACAGGGGGTTAAAACGCCTTGCTTGATTGATACGGGTTCACAAGTGACTACATTGACCGAAAGTTATTTCAAAAAATATTTTGAGACCAGAGGACCAACAATGTATCCACCAATTCAAAAGTTCAATTTGGTAGCTGCTAATGGGTTAACGATTCCGTACATTGGATATATTGAGGTAGATTTGAATATATGTGGGAAAGTTATACCAAAAAGAGGAGTGTTGATTGTTAAAGACTCAAATGGATCATTGTACCCAGGACTAATTGGCATGAATGTGATTAAGGAGTGTAGAGATTTCCTGATGACACAGACTGGGGTTAGTTGTGTAGGGGCAGAAGGCGAAATGCAGGTTAAGGTGTGGCATCAGATGTTTTCGGTGTGTGAAGATCTGTTCAAGTTTGCTGATGAGTCAGGACAGATAAGTTCAATTTACTGGCCGCAGGGAAGACGGAAGACAATACCAGCTCAGTCAGAGGTAGTGATAGAGGCATGTGCACGTTTACGACCTGATAGGAAGGATTATGTGGGTTTAGTAGAACCTTGTCAAGATGTATTGCCGGGGCAGTTATTGGTAGCTAGATCACTGAGCACGGTTTCAAAGGGTAGAGTTATGGTCAGAATTCTAAATCTTTCTACAGCCCCAGTGACTCTTTTTCAGCGCTGTCGAATAGGGCAGATTTTTGACGTTGAGTTGTGTCCAAGTCGGCAAGGAGATGTAGAGTTAAGACAGTTGGATGATGAGACAGTGGAGGTGGGGGTGAGGCAGAATAGAGTGCAGGATGTAGAACAAGAACAGGTGTTTCGGCCGGTGACTGTCCCATTAGACCCATTACAATTTAGCACTGAACAACAAGAGATGATTGCCAAATTGTTATCCAAGCATCAGAAGGTCTTCTCAGAACATGAGGAGGATTATGGGTACACTGATAGGGTGTTGCATGTGATACCAACAGGCGATTCAGCTCCAATTAGAGAACGGTATAATAGGATTCCACCAAAATTATATCAAGAAGTGAGGGGACTTTTGAGTAATATGCTTGAAAATGGTATTATTAGGGAGAGCTATAGCCCCTGGGCAGCGCCTGTAGTGCTTGTCAGAAAGAAGGACGGCACCCTTCGTTTCTGTGTAGACTACAGGAGGTTGAATGGTGTTACCCATAAAGATTCGTACCCCCTCCCCAGAATTGAAGAATCATTGGCTTCATTGAAGCAATCTAGAGTTTTTTCAACATTGGATCTAGCACATGGGTACTGGCAGGTGGGGGTGCATCCAGCTGATAAGGAGAAGACTGCCTTTGTGACCCCTATGGGGTTATATGAATTTAATCGGATGCCGATGGGGCTATGCAATGCTCCGGGAACATTTCAGAGACTGGTTGAAAGTTGCCTGGGTGACCAAAATTTCGAAACATTGTTGCTTTACTTGGATGATATAATTGTTTTCTCCCCTTCTTTTGAGGCCCACATTGCCCATCTGGACTTGGTTTTCAGCCGCCTGGAGAACTTTGGCCTGAAAGTTAAACCTACAAAGTGCTTTCTCTTCCAGCATGAAGTGCATTATTTAGGCCATGTGATTGCAGAAGGAGGGGTGT